GATTACAATAAAACAACAAGAATATTAGGATAAAGTGAAGTAGGAAAAAAAAAAAAAAAAAAAAAATAGCCCAAACGAGTCTGTACACATAATTCGAAGAAGACAAACAGAAAATAAAAAAAAAAAAAAAAAGAGAAAAAAAAAAGAAAAAAAAAAGAAGAAAAAAAGAAAAACATATTTATACATTTATATACATACAAACATTATTTATCTGTTGATATCTGACGTGTTTAGTCCAAATGATATCTTCCTGGTGGATTCAGTACCGCACCTTTCTATGGAAGATAGCCCTGCAGCGGCTGCGATCGCCAGGGACAACACTCGCCGAGTTACTGCTGCCGTGTCTCTTCACACTGCTGCTGGCATTGGGATTCTGGCAGTCCACAACAACAAAGGTGCCGACCACAGACTACAGCGTTAAACCACCAACAAATCTCTCATCACTTCTACCAGCATTCTTTTGTCAAAACTTCTCACATCCTCAACGATTTGGCAGTTCACTGCCCATTGGACCTTGTATGCCGCCGAACCCCAATACGGTGTGCTTCCCCTTTGTTCGTGATGGGGCCCTCTGTGTGCGGGATCGAGAGTTAATGGCGAAAGTGATGTATGGTGTCTACTACGCAAAGGGATCTGTTGTCGTCCCTACATTTGATGCGTATCTCGCATTATCGGCATTTGCCACTTATGAGGCGCGAAGAGCCAATCCCACCTTTATGAGCCGTACAGGGCAGGCAAGTCTTTCCCACTATGGTCATCTCTTATTAGTGGGAAATGGGAATCATACTGCCGTGGCCACAGAGTTTGCAGACTATTGCAGTAAAATGAGTACACTTTGCGGGGAAGTGGTTTACAAGGATAAAATATTTTCATCTATGCAAGAGGCAGAAAACTTTGCAAGAGAAAACGATGGTGATGTATGGGCTATTGCAGAATTACCTACACCTTCTACAGGTGTGAACAAGGAAGGAAATATCTTTACGATAAGTATGAATTATACAGCCACTCCATGGACATTTGAGTCCAGGATGTCATCCTTTACAAAAGGTCTCGGAGGAAATGAATATATGTTGTATGTTACTAGTGGTTTCTTAACGTTACAGAATACCATTCAACTTTTCTACGCGCAACGTCGTGTTAACAGTACTGTAGCAACAACAACAACAACAGCAACGACACCTTCTAATGCTTCAAGTGTAAATCCCGCTGAGGTTTTTAACTACGTCAATGCCTATGGACCCACATTAGTACCTATGCCAACTCCAGCATATCAAGATAATGATTTTTATTCCAGCTGGGCATACTTTATGCCACTTGTCGCTATGCTTGCCGCTCTTTTTCCAGTTGCCAAACTTGTGAGTTGGATCGTTGAAGAGAAATCTCATAGAATTCGTGAATCTATGCAAATTATGGGTCTTCGTTGGTCATGTATGGCCTTTGGATGGTTTACTTCAGCTTTTTTTACCGATATCGTCGCTTCTATTTTAGCTACACTGGTTCTACGTTTTAGTTTCTTCAGCTATGTGAATTATGGAGTTTTATTCATTCTATATTTTAGCTTTATGCAACAAAATAGTGCTCTCAGTCTGTTTTTAAGCTCCTTCTTTACTAATCCACGTGTGGCTGGAGCTGTGGCGGCGTTAACTATATTTGTCTGTTGTATGCCACACTATGCAACTCCTAATGGTATGTCTCTTGTAAGACTTTATTCCATGTGTTTTCTTCCTTGTGTAGCGTATGCTGAGGCGTTTAGGCAACTCACTACATATGCTTCCTTTGGATACTCATACTCATGGGCTAATACACGTGAAGGGGATTATTCAGTTTCCATAGCCATTGGTTTAATGTGGGCTTCAACTGCTTTATTTCTTATTTTGTGGATGTATTTGGATCAAGTATTACCTTCTTCCATTGGCCGTCGTCGTCATCCATTATTTTTTATTCAACCACTTATTAAACGTTTATGCTGTTGCAGGAGGAGAAAAGAAGACGTAGTATCAGGGGAGGTTGAAGTAAATTCATCTAGTGAAACACCAGTAAGGGGTTCACCACAACAACGGGCACAATTATTAGATACATCGGATGAACGTTTTCCAGCTTTATTTCGTAATCTTCGTAAAGTTTATGAAACTGGTGGTTTTATTGGATTTATGTATACTTTTATTACAGGATTACGTCGTGATGGTGATACCTGCGTGGCGGTAAATGATGTTTCTTTTGCGTTAGAACGTGGAAGAGTGAATATATTACTTGGACCAAATGGATCTGGTAAATCCACTTTGATGGGTATGGCTACTGGTATGATTAAACCAACAAGTGGAGATGTTTTTATTTGTGGTCACAATGCATTATATGAACTTGGAAAATGCCATCAAGAAATTGGATTTTGTCCACAAAATGATATTGTATGGAATAAGCTTACAGTAGAGCAACATCTTGCTTTCTATGCTCGATTGAAAAATGGAAAAACATGGAATGTACAAGAAAGAGTAGATAAAGTAATTACTACTTTACAATTGGAGGAAAAACGTCATACTTATGCTGAAGATCTTTCTGGTGGTCAACGACGACGTCTATGTGTTGGTGTTTCATTGATTGGAAACCCTAAAGTACTTTTCTTAGATGAACCAACAGCTGGAATGGATGTACGAGGTCGAAAAGCTGTATATGATGCTCTTCAAGTGGATCGGGAATCACGAGCTGTAATGATTTCTACACATTTATTAGATGAAGCCGATCGCGTAGGAGACCGAATTCTTCTTATGCAAAATGGAGAATTATGCGGTGCGGGATCATCCCTCTTCTTAAAGTCAAAGATGGGTGTTGGTTATATTGTCACTTGTGTGGTGGACACCTGCGAATCGGAGATGGAGGAGAATCTTTACATCAGTCGACTCACAGAGTTTGTACGCACCAAGGCATATCCCGGACATTATGAAGGGAATCCCAATGAATTACAGACAATTCCACCAGGATGTAAATTGTTGGGAATTGAACGCCGTGGTCGTGAGATTTCTTTCCGTTTTTCACTTTCTCTACTCTCATCTGCGGGTAGTGTTATTATTCGCGCACTGGAGGAAGAACGGGAGATGCTGCATCTACATAGCATTGGCTTAAGTCTTACAACACTACAGGAAGTATTGGATTCTATTATGGACGAGGGAAAAGAAGAAAGGAAATCTAAAAAATCAGGGGCAATGCAAACTTCATCTAAGTGTCCAGGAGCAGAACAAGGAATTTCTATTCAAATGGATGGAAACAATATACGGGAACCTTTTCTTGGTACTCCTATCGCTGGTGCTGATGGTGTCTGTATGGAAAATGAAAATGATGATAATAATGATGGCAACTTTGGAATAGAATTGTCTGAAGTTGATAATGATCAACATTACTCAAGACAACACTCAAGCTCATTTTTCTCACATTTTGCTGCCCTCTTTATGAAACGTGTACACTACGGCAAACGTGATGTTCGTCTACTTATATTTCAGGTATTGTTACCAGTTCTTTTCCTTGGTCTTGCACTTCTAATTGATCTTATCAATCCACCGAAACAACCTGGAATTATACTGGATGCCTCACTTTACCCTAATTATAATAAGCAACCCTATTCAATGATTCCATGGACGACTTCCTCTGAACTTCCAGATGTATTCGGTGTGGAAACGAGTGATATGTCTAAAGCTTTTGGGTCATACTATACACCAGTAAAGGTTCCATGTACTGTATCAAACTGCTCCAGTCCACTCTCACGTTCAATGATGCCTGATTTGATGAGTCATGCGGCTACTCGTAATGTTGCGATAGCATTAACAAGTCAGTTACCAAATAGAAATTTAACTGTTCCTACTTCTCTTCTTATGCATAATGTTTCCTCTCCACATGCAGCTGGACAGAGTCTTAACGTATTATACAATGTTGTCAATCACCAGTTATTCGGTGAAGGTGTGATGATGACGGCACAGAATCAACCAATGGCTATGGGACCTACGGAAGAAAAAATGGTAGGAGCTTTACGTCGTGTTATTTGTGGTATCTTTATTCTTTTACCATTTACTTTTATTCCCAGTAATACTGTTAGTTTTACGGTTAGGGAAAATCAGAGTGGTTCTCGTCATCTTCAATGGCTTGCCGGTGCCAACGTTTTTGCATTCTGGTTAAGTTCTATGCTTTTTGATTTTTGTTGCTTCCTTCTTACAGAGGCTCTTGCAATGGTAATATTTGTCATTTTTAAGCGAACAGAATTTATTGGTAATGCTCAAACTGTATACGCAACTTTAGCACTTTTTTCGACATTTGGGTTAAGTTCTATTCCTTTCAGTTACGTTATCAGCTTCTTCTTTAGCTCTCCATTTGTGGCTCAGAATGTTGTACTTATCGCCAACTTTGTTTTGGGTTTCTTGTGGGTAATGGGTGAACAAATTATTGGTGGAGTTCCTAGTTTGGAGAACTTTATGCTATACACAACCTACATTCTCCGTGTTATCCCATCGGTTTCCTTTGGTGAAGGTATGTTTATTCTATCTGGCGTTGAGTTAGCTAATTTATTTGTGCCAGATCGTGAGCGTCCCAACCTCTTCAATTTATTAACCTTTGAAAATGGAAAGTTTAAGGGAGGTATTGGTACAGGACTTATTTACATGGGAGGTACTTTTGTGGTTTCCTTGTTGGTACTTGTGTTGCTTGAGTACGCCCGCGTGCAGCGTTTCCGCTGGTTCTTCTCCCGCATCTTCTGCTGCTGTTCTCGTGAGTCCCAGACAACATCCCTCGATGATGTTGAGACCAATGATGAGAATAATACGAATGTGGAAGCCATGCAGTTAGAGTCTGTGCGACGGGAGACGGCGGAGGTTTGCCAATATGCAAGTGGCCGACCGGGTGACGCCATCACTTTACGACGTGTGTCCAAGCGGTATGGGAACGGTACGTTTTTCACAACTACCGCTAGTGCAGATGGTGATCATCATCATAATCATAATGATAATGATAACAATGATAATGATAACAACTGTGCTGGTGGGAGTCGGCGGCGGGTGACGGCGCTGTCGGACGTGACGCTGGGGGTTCACCGCGGGGAAATCATGGCGCTGCTCGGCCTCAACGGCGCCGGCAAGTCGACCGCCGTCGGGATTCTCGCCGGCACCGTCGTTCCCACCAGCGGCGAGGCGTTCATCAACCACCACTCCGTCATGCGGTCGGCCTCCCGCCGCTTCGTCGGCTACTGCCCGCAGAGGGACGCGCTGCTCGACAACCTCTCGCCCCGCGAGCACCTCACTCTCTACGCAGCCCTCCGCGGCGCAAGCCCGGCGTACATCAGGCGGGAGATCCCACGCCTCCTGCTCGCATTGGGATTGGCCGACAAAGAGAACCGCCCAGCCTACGCACTGAGCGGTGGGAATAAACGACGACTCGCCCTCGCCTTGGCGTTGGTGGGCGGCACCACGAGTGTTCTGCTTGATGAACCCACCGCCGGCATGGACGCCGTGGCGCGGCGGCAAATGTGTGCTGTGGTGCGGCGACTCACAAAGAATAAATCCGTCATTCTCACAACACACCTGTTAGATGAGAGTGAGGCCCTCGCAGACCGTGTGGCCTTTATGTCAAGGGGAAAACTCCGCTGCGTGGGTACACCGCAGGAACTCAAGACGTGCTTTACAGATGATGCCGTGTACACCGTGCAGGTCGTCTTCGCTGCTGTCGACAACGCACAAGAAATGGATAGCAATATCTTATCAGAGCGTCTCTGTAAGTATTTCCAAACATTTGATGCTGCGATGGGAGAGGCGGAATGTACGGTGGAGAGTGTTGTCAGCCGCACGGTGACACTGCAGGTGCGTCGAAGCCTGTCAAGTATTTGTAGTATTACAACAGCCATCCGTGAAGGCGCTCTTGAAGGATTGCCACCGGTGGTTCAGATAAGCGCAACACAACCAACATTGGAGGACATTCTCTTGAGAGATTGATGTACCTGAAAGGATACCACATCCATAGTAGAAGCAAAAATAGGTTACTATTATTACCTGCTACCACTAATTACCATTGTCATTGGAAGGAATTAAGAGAAAGAAGGAAAGAAACAATGACTGCAGCAGTTGTCTCATTGCGAGGAGGCTATGAAAGAAGAAAAAGGAAGGAAGGAAGGAAGCAAACCAGATTATTTTGGTAAAAAAAAAAAAGCAAAGAGAAGGGGGTCTAATCAACTGAAGAAAAAAAAGTTACAAGAATCAATATGCTGTTATGTATATGACCAAAAACAAGAGGAAGGAAAATAAAAAAAAAAGAAAGGGAAGGAAATGCAAGACTCTAAGAGAAATCCACACTGGGATGGGAAAACAACATTACTATTGCAATAAAAAAAAAAAAAAAGAAGAAAACAAAGAAAAAAAGAGCAAAAAGTAAGTTATAAACAAAGGTATGTGGTACAAAAAAAAAAAAGAGACACAACTACCCCATCTGCTTCTTTACTTGTATTTATTTATTTATTTATTGTATGGTCTGCACAACTATAGCACCCTGAACTCACAGGTTCAAGAATGAAAAATGAAGGAGCAAAGAAAGGAAAGAGAAGGTAAACAAGGGTAAGGGAAACCAAATTGGTGATCTTTAGATATGAAAATACGTTTCATTATGCTTTTACTGTTCTACCACTACAAATTTTGTTTTGATTGTTAAACTTATCTTGAATCTTAATTCCTACTAACTATTCTTTTTGTGTTTTCTTTTTTTTTTTTTTCTATTGCAAACAAACAAAAAAAAAAAAGGATAAGGTTTGCGGTGAGCTAACTAACTACGCTACACCACAAAATACACTAAAAACAAAGTAAGTATTAGGCGGGGAAAACAAAAAGTAAAAAAAAAAAAAAACACAAGAAGGATTCCTTCATTGTGTTTTTTTTTTTATTAATTTCTTATTCCCTTTAACCCTTCTTCAACTCCCCCCTTCCTCTTTTCAGGAATTGCATAATTGAAGTTATTCAATTCCTTTTTGACCGTTTTCCTATCACATCTGGAAAGCTCACAATTCTCCCCCTCTCCTTCCCTCTTTCTATCTCTATTTCTATTTCTCTCTCTCTCTCTCTATATATATCTCATACACACACAAATACACATACACACACAAATATATTCTGTTGCTATTTGTTTGAGTCATCTATTGCTGTTTTGACTCTTATACTCTCCCCCCCCTCGTTCATACAAATTCGCAGAATAATACAAATTTTTATTGTGTAAACAACGTTTATTTCTAGTGTTTCCCTTTTGCTGATACTCAATCTTCAAGTTCAATGAACCGTGGTACGCCTTCAGCCCCTCATTTTATGGGCAATATGACTCCAATGATGGCACCTGAACTTATTCAAGCCTCTCAACAAGTCTCCCCGCGGCAAAGACGATATCGGGCTCTGGACGATATCTCATCTAATGCTGTGGAGCGACCAATCCATCAGATCTCATACCCATTAGCACAGTCGAAGCCATACCAAGAGCAAGGACAACAACAACAACAACAAGGACCCCCTTTACGTTTTCCTACTCCACCCACTCAGCAGACTGCGCCTCTTCAGGCATGTGATTATAATTATTCGAACGATAGGAAATCTCACTCCCAAGCAAATCCCTATATCCGTGTGCAACAACAACAACAACAACAACAGCAGCAGCAAAAAGAAGAAGGACGACAAACTTGCATTCGCATGATACTCCCATCTTCTTTTTCTGAACAGGGAAAAAACCGTGAGCTTCACTGTTGGCGAGATTTGCCAGTTAACCCTCTAATTGGTTTGCCTGGATTGGCATCCGCTTCTGTGCCTGTAGAGCGTGAGGATTACAAATTCTACTGTGATTCGTGTCAGAAAGGATTCTTTACAAAAGAACGTTATGATACTCATATGAAAGATCATATATGGTGTACATTTCCAGGGTGTGAATTCACATGCCGACGAGATAAAGAATGGAAAATGGAGGTGCATGTGGAAACACTTCATAATCGTCCTGATGCACCTAATCTTGCTGATGTTGGTGCTTATTTATTACAACGTAAAAATCGTTTTCCCACTGAAAATACTGTTAAGGCGAAAGTAGAGGAGCTTTTCTATAAAGCTTCCAGAGGCGTTGAGATTCCAGATGAACGTCGGAGGTGGCTTCGTCAACATGGAGTTTTGGTCCGAAAGAATCCACGCACAGAGAGGACATACATTGTTTCTGGTGCTTTACAACATTCAGAAGATGTAGGCATAAACAAACCATCTGAGAGACATCAAGAGGAAGAAGAAGTACGAACACAGAAAAATAGGGAATTATCAGATCCCAGGAGTAATAATGCTGAAGAAACCCTTATAAAGGAGGAGACTTCTTCTTCAACGACTACACAACGTCCTTTACCACATCAAAACCGTCCAAAACGAATTATTCCTTTAGGTCCAAATGGGACTCTTACACGTGGACAGAAGGTGCAGCTTATTCGTGAAAAGTACCGAGAGGCGAGTACAGTACCATCATTCCATGTTTGCCATCGCTGCGGTGAAAAGGGAACACATTGGGTGAGTGAATGCCCAAAGAAGGGTGATGAGGCGTTTGAGCGACAAATGGTGTGGGGTGAAGAGCGGCGTGAACCACCGCGGCAACGACGCCGTACGGAGACAGATGGAGAAGAAACATCTTTTGAGAATGTGAATCTTGAAGTGAGAGTTCCGCAGGAAAATACTGCTGTAAATACTAATAATAGTAACAATAATAATAATACGAATACTAATACTAATAATAGTGATAATAATAATAATAATAATAATAATAATTTTAGTAATAATAATACTAATAATAGTGATAATAGAGATGTTAGGGTTGATGGTGATAGGCAAAATGAATGGCCATCTCGTGAAGCTGCGGGATTTGAGGAGGATGGGGCATTAGAACTCATAGAGGATGGCGGTCCACCGGCGGAGGTCTCCGCACGACAACACGACAGCCGAGGCGAAGTCCAACACTCCACAGAGATCACACGGGTATTGGCCCCAGTAGCAGCAGCAAAAATAAAAGGAAGAAGAAACAAACAAACACTGGCGCGAAAAACGCAATCACGTGCACCACCGCCTCCAACTTTGTATGAACGTCTGACAGAACCAGAGAAGGCAGATGAACATGGTCTTTTATTACAAGCATTTCGATTCTTTGTGATGGTGAACTTTTTTGAATCTGTATAAACTCCTTATATTTGAAAGTTTTTTTTTTTTTTTGATGATATCTGTAGACGTATTTTTGGACTGACACAGTCTTCCTTTTTTCTCTTTTTTTATGCGTACATGTGTGTATCTGTTTTTTGAGGACCTTACTCTTATTGGTTCTCTCTTTCTCTCTTCTTCTTTGGAGACACCTATAATGATAATAGTGATAATAATGGGAAAATACCTGTTTCTTTTTCCTTTTCCTTTTTCTTTTCTGAGAGGTGCCTGATACATTTTTTTTTTTTTTTTGATTCAGTTAATTTCCTATGTTTTTTTTTTCTTTTCCTTTCCTGTTTTGCCTATTTTTTTTTTTATTTTCTTTCTTCAGACCAAGTGTGAAACAGAGGTTCTCACTCCATTTTAAGGTTACCAAGAGAAAGCTTATAATTATATATTTATATTTAAATATATAATTATATACTTATTTATTCGTCGCAATCACACGGACACACATCTATATATATATATATACAGTCATTTGGTTAGACAGACGGAAATTTCGGACTCTGTAAGAACCATACCAACAAGACAAGCAAAGAAATAAGAGCGGCACAAAAAGAAAGAAGCAAACGAACAAACAAACAAAAAAAAAAACAACAACAACAACAACCAAATAAATAAAATAGGAACAACTGTGCTCTTCAAAGTAAGAAAACCAAACCAAACCAAGAAAAAAACAACAACAGCAACAACCCTTTATCATTCTTATTCATCATGTCAACGGATCTCATCACGGATACCAATGATGTGCGCAGCAGCAAGCAGTTGATGGGCCAACTCATCACAAACTGCTCCCGGTCGAACGGCACTGTGACCTGCCAGTCCTCATCCCTCACCGCCTCGCAGGGAGATGCGATGAGTCGACTCGTCACGTTTGCAGATGTGGACGGCACCACCACCTCCACCTTCAGCATCGCTGCGGACGGCACACTTCCCGCCGCTGCGGCCCCCACGCGCATTTCATTTGATATGATCGGCATGAAGGGCATGACGGAGGAGATGCTGCGTGAGTTGTACGATGCCTTCGACATCAACCAGCGCGGTGGGGTGGAGCGGGGGGTGATGCGGGAGTTGATGCGGGCGGGGTTCTCGCACTACGGCGCCCCGTGCAGTGAACGCGATGTGGAGCGGCTCTTTGAACACGCGACGCCGTATCGTGTGCGGCGGCAGTTGAAGGCGGAGGACGCGGACGATTTGATGGCCTTCAATGAGTTCTGCGTGCTTTTCCTCGCCTGGCTGCGGCTGTGAGAGAGGAGGGAAGGGGGGGGG